ACTAATGCAGTGTGACTTTGCAGATTGGCGCTTCATTTCCTCTGGGTGTGGTGACACACACACACACATAATCCCAGCTCTCTGGAGGCTGAGACCAAAAAAAGACCCTTTTGAGCTGGAGTCTAGCCTGGCTACATAGGGAGTTCTAGGCTATGCTGGACTACAAAGTAAGACCCTGTCTAAATAAACAAGTAACAGAAACAATAGAAGAAAACCAGAACGTGCATACATGCTCAATACAGGCATTTTTCTTTTCTTTCTTTCTTTGTTTGTTTGTTTTTTAGTAGCTTTGATTCAAAGTTAGTTGAGTGCATGGGTGGAACCAGCATCAACAGAGGGGGAGGCAGGCTGTATAATGGCAGGTTGACCCAGCAGCGAGCTGTGCCCTGTTCTGACTGCCTCTCCTTCCCTCCACAGTACTCTCCCAGCATGAGGGCCACCTACATGTCCGTGGCGGATGACCACCTGAGACACTACGAGTTCCCATCCTAGCAACTCTCAGGGCACCTGCCTCCTCCTGCCAGCTTGGCTCTCAGCGGATGCAGACCGCAGCTAGGTTTCTGTAACAGAAACTGAAAGTTCCTGGACCAGCAGGCGCCTGTGCCTGCCGAGACACAGTTGGGACTCCTGACCACAGGTGGATACAAGGCCCGTGACTAGACCAGCCTCTCCGGCCAAGCTCTTCATCCTAGAACTCCCCAGGACTTGGCTGCTGTCCCAGAACCAGCTGCCTGGTTCAGCTCCCTTAAGTCCCACCCTCAGCAGATGAGAAATGGCAGTGAGGAGGGGACCACCAGCCTAAGAGCTCTATTCTCTCAAGGTCCTGCCACCGGGCCCCTGCCTCTTGTTAGTGTGGCCCTAAGCCCAGGCCACACACCTTCTAGCTACTCTGTTCTTGGTTCCTAGCAGGTAACAATTGGAGATGTGTTAGAACACATGGTCCAGGAAACACATTCTGGGACCACACAGACTCTGCCTAGACCGGAGAAGGATAGCATTAAGAGTACTTCCCAGAGGGGATTGGTGGCCTCAAGCTGGGCACTGCAGCCTGGCAGCCTTGGGCAGGAGCATGAGAGAAAGCCTGCCACGCTCTGCCCCTAACCTCCACCAGCCACCTCCATTCCAGAGCCAGGTCTCAGCTGCAGGTGGGAACAGTCTCAGGTATGAACAGACACTTTAAAAGCAACTGAGCTCTTGTTCCCAGTATTTTGAAACATTTTGATGATCCAAAGACTCACATCTCCCTCACAGGCACTTCCAAACAGGCTCAGGTCTCACACCTGTTTCTATACTTTGGCTCTCACATAAGCCATTGTACAGAGCTGGAGGAGAGGTTGGGGAGTGGGTTGTGGGCTTTTGTTCTGCTGCAGTCTCATTATACAGCCCTAACTGGCCTTGGCCTCGAACTCACAGAGATCCACCTGCCTCTGCCTCCGGAGTACTGGGATTAAAGGTGTGTGCCACCACACCGGGCCAGAAGCAGATTTTTGGGGGAGTTTTGAGACAGGGTTTCTCTGTGTAGACCAGGCTGGCCTCGAATTTGGAGATCCACCTGCCTCTGCTTCCTGAATGCTGGGATTAAAGCCTTGAGCCACTGTGCGCAGTCCTTTTTTGTGTAATAAAGATTCATGAGACATCATGTCCCAGATGTCTAGAGAAGGATATGTGGGGCCTTGTAAAGAGAGAGACACGTTAACTAAGAAGGCTGTGGGGCCTTCTCTATTCTGAGGAACAGCCATTTTCTGGCTAGGAGAAAATAATGACCCCTCTCCTGCCTGCTGAGGGACCAGGTTAGGCTATTTGGTGCTTCCAGCCTCCTGCCAATCCAGAGTACACTACACACTGAAGCCCTGTGGTCTTGCACATGTAAGTAGGGCCTGGGTGATGGTGTGTGACAGGGCTGTTTCCATATCAGAAGAGCCACATTGTCATCACACTGGCAACTCCCAGCCAAGCCACCAGGCACCAGCCTCACTGTGTTTCATACTAACCTGTGCATACTGTGAGCCCCCTTTCCCATGTCTGTGTCCCGTGCAGACCTTGGGCTGCAACGTCAAGGCATTGCTTCTAATGTTTCCTCCACAGCAGCTGGAGGACTTTTTAATGCATGTATGTTAAACTAAAACGCCTCCGGGTTCTACAGGAGTCAGGTGGGCAATGCGCCTCTGCTTGGTACATGTTCGCCCCCACCTGAGCCAAGAATAAACCACTTCTCTTAAGATGTGCAGTTGACTGGGTCACTTACTTGTTAAGCTTTGGGGACTAGCGAAGGTGCACGTCCCCTCCACAGAGGTCATAGAGGGAGGGTGTACAAGAGACTCCTCCAGCAGCAGTATCAGGTTTCAATGAGAAGTGAGACGGGGAGGGGGGGGGCTATGAGGGGCTGGATAGACAGCTCAGCAGATAAGAGGACTTGCTGCTCTTCCAGAGGATCTGAGTTTGGTTCCCAACACCCACATCAAGCAGTTCATAACCTCCCGTAGCTCCATCTCCAGGAGATCCACTGCCCTCTTTCTGGTCTTTCAGGATAACCACATATATCTGACATACGCACAGAGAGACATATATACACAGAAATAGAAATCAAAAAGCAAGTCTTGGGGTGGTAGAGATGGCTCAGTAGTTAAGAGCACTTGTTGCCTTTGCTGAGGACCTGGGTTCCGTTCCCAGCATCTACATGACAACTCCCAACCATCTGTCATTCCGGTTTCATAGGATCTGATGCCCTCTTCTGGTCTCCATGGGCACCCACACATATTCACATACACGAAGGAAAACACTCATACATAGGTCTCATTATGAAGCCTTGGTTGACTTGGAACTCATTGTGTAGACCAGGCTGGCCTAGAACTCATTGAGACCTGCCTGCCTCCACCTTCCATTTGCTGAGACTAAAAGCTATGTGCCACTATGCTCAGCATAAAAACATTTTTTGTTTTGTTTTGTTTTGAGACAGGGTTTCTCTATGTAGCCTTGACTGTCTCAGAACTCACTCTGTAGACCAGTTAGCCTTGATGACTTCTGCCTCCCAAATGATGGGACTAAAGATATGCACCACCACACCTAACAATAAAATCTTTTTTTTTTTTTTTTTTTTTTTTAAGAAAAAGAGGGGGGCTATGAGTGAATATCTAAAGTCACGGGTGCCTGTGGCCTTTACCTATTTTTTTGTTCTGTTTTGTTCTTGTTTTTTGTTTATTTGGTGGTGGTGGTGGTGGTGATGGTAGTGGTGATGATGGTGTATGTGTGTGGGATTACTTGTGTGTGTGTGTGTGTGTGTGTGTGTGTGTGTGTGTGTGTGTGTGTTGTGTTTTGTGTGGTGTGTGTGTGTGTATGTGTGTGGTGTTGTGTATGTGTGTGGGGGGGTGGTGTTGTGTGTGTGTATGTATGTGTTGTGTTTTGTGTGGTGTGTGTGTGTGTATGTGTGTGGTGTTGTGTATGTGTGTGGGGGGGTGGTGTTGTGTGTGTGTATGTATGTGTTGTGTTTTGTGTGTGTGTGTGTGTGGTGTGTGTGTGTGTGTGTGTGTGTGTGTGTTACACACATAGGCCAGAGGACAAAGGACATTGGCTCTTCTGCTCTACCACGCCCCTGCCCCCCATCTTATTCCCTTGAGACGGGGTCTCTCACTAGACTGGCAGCCAGAAATCCTCCTGTCTCCCCCACTGCAGGACTGAGGTTACAGGCATGTACCTAGTCACATCCAGCTTTTTAGGTGAGTGCTGGGGATTTGAACTCAGGTCCTCATACTTGCACAGCAAAGCTCTTATCCAGGGAGCCATCTCCTTAACCTCCGCCTGTAGCTCCTCCTACAGAACCAGGGCTAGGCCTCATTTCTACTCTGGGCTTTCTCCAAGGGTCTCTCTGAAGGCCGTCCACTGCTCACCGGGCCGCTAACAGTAAGCAGCCTTTAGTAAGTGCTCACCAGGAGCCAGCAGTTCTCTCTGGTATTGATATTAAGTTTTCATTAACCCTCAGAATAAATCTATAAAACCATTGTTTGAACAGGCGCATCAAGGGTAAGGACCTGGTTGGACTAAGGACAGAACCAGGGTGTCTCACGCGGAGCCTGGACCCTGTGCTGGGTGCCTCTGGGCGGCCATGGGATGGGGCAGTGGTCAGGCAGGAGTTACCCAGACTGTGTTCCTCCACTCGCAGTTCATGGGTCTGTGCTGTGCTCCTGAGCACCTCACCGCCATAGGTTGCTTCTTGGGGCAGGGATGCCTGAACACAGTGTCTCTGGGGCAGCCACCCCACCCCACCCCACCCACCCTTCTAGCTAGGCTCTGGTGCTACCCCACAGGCCAAGTAGCTGCTCATACCCATGTGTAGCTGAGCTTTCAGAACTCCCTGGAACATAACGGAACTCCTGGGTAAGTTACTGTAACCTTTGGGAGTGCTTGAGGGGAGAAGCTGAGAGTCATGTGCGGATGACCTCAGCAGCTCAGGAGGTCACATGGTCTTGTGGCTTTTCCTGTGCTCCGCTTACCCTAGGGAACCCACAGCCTTGGGGAGATGAGTAAGAACAGTGTGGGAACTCCCATAACCACTTTGATTTTTGGAGAAAACTGGCTCAGCACCCAGGTGACGTGGGCTGTGGGGGCTTTTATGGTCTCTGAAAACTAGATGAAACTTGAGTAGCAGAAGGCCTATAAGAAGTAGGAAGGTCAGGATTGGAGAGATGGCTCCAAGGTTAAGAGCACTGGCTGCTCTTCCAGAAGACCTGGGTTCAAGTCCCATCACCTACAAGGTAGATCACAACTGTCTTGTAACTCCAGTTCCAGGAGGTCCAACGCCCTCTTCTGGCCTCCGTGGGCACTGCATGCACATAGTGCACAAACAGAAATGCAATCAGTACACCCATACACGTAAATAAAATAAACTCAAAACTCTAGTTCTTTTATTTAAAAAAAAAAAAAATAGGAAGGTGACTCTGAGTCCGCAAGCCCCTGCAGGGGTGAGCAGGTCAGCACTGTGTCACCTCTCTTTTCTGAGGAAGAACCACACGCTGGCTGCACATCAAGGGAAAGTGGTGTGGTGTTGAGAGGTCACTGTGTCACTGCCCACTGCTGGGCTCATCTGACTGTCATCTGGCTGTGACATGACTGCAGGCCCGGAGCCAGCTGTGGGAAAAGGACTGTTATTTAGCCTGCTCCCTGGGGAAAAGTAGGACTCCATAGAGGCCCTCAGTGAGCACAGGCTTCCTTGGGAACAGATGTAATACCCTGATGCTTTGCTCTACTCCCACAGGCCCCCAGTGCTTCAGATTGAACCCAGGGCCTTGCTCATGCCAGGTGACTGCTCTACCACTGGGCTACACTCCCGATTCAGCACTACCTCTTATCTCCATACAGTGCTCAAGAGGCCAGCCATGTTCACTGCCCAATACACTCAGATAAGAAGAACTGTGTAGTTGGAAGATTTCCTGTGTCCACAAATCTCTCCCATTGTGTCCCCCAAGTAAACACACAGAGGCTTATATATTAATTAAAACTGCATGGCCATGGCTCAAGTCTTTTGCTAGCTAGCTCTTATATCTTAAATTAGCCCATAACTATTAATCTACATATCGCCACATGTTCCGTGGCTTTACCTGCGTCCCATTACATGGGCATCTTGTTGGCGTCTCTCCCCGCCTTCTTCCTGTCTCTCTCTCTTTGAATTTCCCGCTTGCCTCTAAGCTGCCTTGCCATAGGCCAAAGGGCTTTATTTATCAACCAGTCAGAGCAACACATATTCTCAGCGTTCAGAAAGACATTCCCCATCAGAACTGTCCTTACCAGCCCCCATGAGAACTTTGGTTTGTGCCTCCTAACCCACAAAGCCTAAACATCTGATATCCCCTTACTCTCTCTGAGTTCAAGGGTAGCAGAGGTGTCTGGGAAGTCAAGGTCACGGTCCTGGGAAGGAGTTTACAAATGATCATGTAACAGAACCAGCTCAAATTGCTTAGCTATGGGTTTGTGGGCAAAACTCCCATGATCTTGAGCTTCCTGTTTTAGTTCAGTGTGTGTGTGTGTGTGTGTGTGTTTTATGTGTTTTGTTTGGTGGTTTTGCTTTGAGATGAGGTTTCACTATATAGTCCTGGCTAACCTGGAACTCACCATGTAGACCAGGCTAGCCTGGAAAGCAGAAACCTGTCTGCTTCCACATCAGGAGTGCTGGGATCAAAAGGCACCCAACTTGATCTAGTTTTGTTTGTTGTTTGTTTTGATACTGTTTCATATAGCCCAGGCTGGCCTCAAACTTAGTATGTAAGGTTGATCTTGAACTTCTGATTCTCTTGCTTCCAGCTCAAAAGCATAGCTATTATGTTTCCACTCAATTTTAAAATTAGAAAAACAGGAAACAAAACAACAACAACAAAGATGAAAGCAGAAGGTATTGGGGAATAGATCACATCAAAGCACATTTTATACATATGTGCATATATGTATGTATAATGAAAGCCTTATCCTGTACTATTAATGTACACTCATAAAAAAAATCACTAACTAATCTTTCTGTAGAAGAGTTCTAAGGCCTGGTGTGGTGGAGCTTGTACTTATAATACTTAGGAGGCAGAGGCAGGAGGATCAGAAGTTCAAAGCCAGCCTGAGTTACATGAGACCCTGTCCTAAAAAAATGAAAACGGGCTTGGGTTGGCGGGGGTGGAGAAAGCCAGTGGTGTTATGGACTAGGGACCCACCTGACTTTCCAGGGCAGGGGCTGATCTAAGCAGGAACTTCTGTGGCCAGTTTCACTGTGATTGGGTGGAAATCTGAGAAGCTGAGAAAAAAAAAGAAAAGAAAAGAAAAGAAAAACCAGGACGTTATGAATACTCCTAATTATATGACCTCATGCTGGCCTCCCATGGTGACTGAACTGGACCCTGCCAAGAGCTTAAGAGCTAAGAGCAAGTGAGGAAGAGGGGGAGCCAGCGAGCGAGGTAACCCTTTCCAGTGTTGGTTGGCTTTACACAGGTCTGAGTGAGGGTAGGGTAGGGTAGGGTGGTGTGGGATGGGGAGCCAGGAACAAAATCATTGTCATAATAAAAATGACTGCCATTTCCTCTCCAAATTCCCCCTCCCCCTTTTCTTATCTGCACCCCACCCCCGCTTCCCTGCCCACAGTCGTCAGAGAGGCCCCAGCTTGCAATCCCAGCCAGCCACGTTGCTCCATCCTGGAAGCGATCAGCTTACTCCTCTGGTTCGGACTTGCCCCACCCCCACTCCCGGAGTCCTTCCCCTGCAACTCAAAACCACTTTCTAGGGCCCAGTTCCAACTCCATATCCCACATCTTGGTGACTCATGCTTTGCCTGGCTTCATCCAAATCTCCAGTGCCCACGCCTGGCCTCAGGTTCACCTCATTCTCTGTAGCCTGTAGCAGCAAGCATGTGCTGGCCGGGCCGCAATGTGGGCTGGACGCTCTGTGTCTGATCTTCCCATTACCCTGAAGAACTGTCACTGTTCTCCTACTGTGAAGATGTAGAAAGTTTAGTCCCAGAAATGGAAACTAAGGCTGGGGATGCAGTTCAGTGGTAGGGCTCCAGCCTATCAGATGCAAGGAACGGTTCGATCCCAATACTGAAGGAATGTCTTAAGCCGCTGTTGGATTGCTGCGAAAAGACACCATGACCAAGGCAACTCTTATAAAAGAAAGCTTTTAATTGGGGATTTGCTTATATAATTTCAGAGGGTTAGTCCATAATCATCACAGCAGGAGACATGGTTGCATGCAGACAGGTATGATCCTGGAGAAGTAGCTGAGAGCAACTACATTCTGATCCATAGGCAGCAGGAAGGGAGAGACACTGGGCCTGGTGTGGGCTTTTGAAACCTCCAGGCCCACCTCCCACCCCCCACCCCCAGTGACACACCTCCAACAAGGCCACACCCCCTAATCTTTTCCAGACAGCTTGCCCAACTTCGGACTAAGCGTGCATATCTATGAGCCTGTGGGGACCAATCTCATTTAAGCCATGGGGGGACGATACAACTTGCTAAAAATAACGTGATAAATAAATGAACAATATAGGATCTCCAGCTCCAAATGCTCTTAGGGTCTTCTGGGAAGCTGTCTGGGATTCTCTAGTTTTCTTTCTCTTTAAAAATCACAGTGTGTGTGTGTGTGTGTGTGTGTGTGTGTGTGTGTGTGTGTGTGCGTGCGTGTGTTCATGTGCCATACATAGCACAAGTATGGAGGTCAGAGGACAGTTGGGAAGTCAGTTCTCCCCTTCACATGTGTGTCCAGGGGCTCAAACCCAGGTCATCAGAAGTGGTGACAATCCCTTTTCCCCACTGAGCATCTCATCAGTCCTACATATAGGACTAAACTTCCCTTCTTTAATTTTTTAATTACTGACTTATTATTACTGTGGGTGTGCACCAGGCAGGTGTAGGAGGTCAGAGGACAACTTTGTGGAATCCGTTCTTTTTCCACTTTGACGTGGGTTCTAGGGTTTGACCTCACTTTGTCGGGTTTGGGAGGCGAGTGCCTGTTGCTCACTTAGCCATCTTGCCAGCCCTTGGTATGGTTTTCTAATCCTTCCTGTATTTTCTCACTTCATTGCCTTGAGCTCATGAGAAAAACGTCTCTCGCTGTGTCATTCATCATCCATCAGCTCTTTCATTCATGCAATGAAACCGTGTTTACAATGTGCCAACTACACAGCTAAGCCATGCATGCATTCAGCCTGACCCTCAAGGAATTTCCATTCTGGGGATGTATTCAGAAGGGTGGGGGTGCAGGGGATATGGCAGCAGAACAGACGGGGTCATTGCAGCAAACAGTGACAAATCAGACAAGATCAGAACTGAACAGAGCAGGCTTTCACTAACCCAGGCGCAGGCCTTCCCACGCACTGGTCGCTTTGCTTGCGTTTTCAAGGGACTTCGCCGGGTGCAGCCTTGGGTAAGCGTTTTGGCCAAGCCCTTATGACCACTAGCTGCATTTAAAAGTTGGCTAACTTTCCTCCACCTCTTCCGTAGACCTCCTCCAGAAAAGGGAGGAAAGAAGAAGGGCTTTGCTTCCGACCAGGGGGACCTATGTCACGTGCTCCAGATCGCCTTTCGAACCGTCCGTGTCTCGGCCCGGCTGGGGTTGCTAGGCAACCGGTAAACTCCACAGCTCCCAGCCGTTTGAGCTGCGCTGGAGCCGGGACGTGTCTTGGGCGCTTCCCGGGCGCAGTGTAGCAGGAGAAACTGAGCCCAAATAAGGGACTGGAGCCCAGGAGGACGTCCAAGCCTGAAAGGAAACCTGACGAGAGGAGGAAAGAGCCCCAGAGGGTAATAATCACTAACAGTGCAAGAAACCTAGGAGATTCCTTCTAGGAGAATTGGGTGCTGGAATCAGGACCAGCGCTCCCTAGCGCTCTTCCGGCCGCATCAATCCTCGCTGCCCGGAATATTCTCCAAGTTCTAGGACCTCTACAACCCCCAAGCACCTTGCCTTCTGCATCACTACCCCACCAGGCTCTGACCCTGACCGTGTCCCGAAGTGGGCGGGACTTCTTTCGGGCTTTCAGGTGACTGAAGCAAACGTTCCCCCGGGGAGGATGGGGCTGTTAAGAGAGCTTTCAATTAAGAGAAGGGAGTGGGAGAGGGAAGGGCACACGCCTATGATCCCTGCACTCGGGAGGCAGATGCAGGAGGATTGCCGAGAGTCCGAGGCCAGCCTAGACTACTCATTAGGTTCCAGGCCATCTGGACTAAGAATGGAGGGACGGCTCAGCAGTTAATAGGGAGCACTGCCCTTGCAGAAGACCAGAGTTTGGTTCAGGTGACTCACAGCCGCTGTAACTCCAGCTCCAGGGCATCTGACGCTTCTGGTCTCCACCTCACTGCACTTGTGTGCACATACCCACATGCAGACATACCCACACACACCACACATGTTTACATTTAAAAATAAAGCCAATTTAAGAAAAGTGAGGTGGGGGGAGTAATTGTGGGAGATCACAAGAGTACTGTGATCTGGGTACAGACGCTGTATGTAAATGCATCCTTTTGTTTGCCCCTCGGTTTGAGAGCTGGTCTTACCATGCCCATTAGGATCCTGAAACACTAACCTAGTCCAGAAGGTTCTCAAAGCCATGGGAAGGATGCAAGGAACCCTCCCTCTGAGTTCCTCCCTCAAGCAAGGCTCCTCAGTTCCAGGCACACAGATGAGCTGCCCCCAGGGACAAAGGCTGGCTGGCCCTCCTCCTGGCCTCTTTCCGGCATTGACACCCCTGCTTCCTGCCATTCCCAGGGCTTCCCTCCCAGCTGAGTGCCATGCTTTCTGTTAAACCACAAGGGTTCTCTCTAGGAATGACTTTGCTCATCATCCTCATATGACCCACCAGGATACAGGAAGTGGTCACATGTTTTGGTGCTTGGACAGGGTTATGGAGGTTCCTTGTGGCTCTGGGTTTGAGATTTGTGGGGGCTGGGTGTAGCAAGGTGGTAGAGCACCGCTATGTGTGAGGTTCTAGAGTCTGTATTTAGCAGAGTGTGTGTGGAGGGGGAGATTGCGGTTCTTCATGCTTCTGGGTCTCTAGAATAGAGGCAATCTTCCCCTGACACTTCTAGGCAACAATACTACTCTTGGTCCCCTGTGCTACACACACGGCCCTTGCAGACACTCTGCTCAGACCCTGGGGGAGCCCCACCCTGCAGCACTCGTCTCCCAAAAGAGGGGAAAGACTGTTGTGACACCCTTGGATGGCCTTGTCACTTATCTTTGCACATGCTAGCTTGTGAGAAAAGCCTGCACTGCTGGGTCCTTGAATGTGCTATCTTCCTGTCACCAGGCTAGCCTTTAAATGTCCCCTCTGTCTGCCTCCAGACAATGCCTCCGTTCTCCATGCGGGCTTGGCCTTGGGAAACACCAAGGAAGAGAGCAAAGCTCTTAGAATCTGATCCGGGGTGAAGAGGCTGGGTTTTTTTTTCTCCCTTCCCAGAATTTTCCCATTCTCTTAAGTATCCTTGTGTCGCCCTAGGAGTCAGCTGTGCCACAGCAATTGGAGATGGAGAGAGACAGCCCCTGATTGCCTGAATCCAGCTGCCGGGTCTGGGAGGCACGGGTGCTTTTCATGATTGGTGGAAGACAGAGGATTTAATTGACTTTTCATCCTTTTCCCCAAGGCTTCCATTTCATCCACACAGAATGAAGACGGCGGGGCACCCGATGCAGACTTGCTGCCTTGCCCACCCCTCTGCCCTCTGAGCCATCGCTCCACCCGCAGAAGGGAGACTTTCCAAACTACTTTCTCCAAGAGTATAGTTTGTGTTGGCATTGGGGGTGGTTTGAAGCATGCTTTTATTGTTTTTGAGACAGGGTCTCATGCTCCATCCGGCCTTGAACTATGAGGCTAGCCTTGAACTCATGATTCTTCTGCCTTTACATCCCAAGTACTGGGATTACAGGCATGTGTCACCATGCCTAGCAGGTCATGCTGCCTTCAAGGAGCAATATATGGATGCCAAGAGACTGGGGAGTTAACCCCACCCCCACCCCCATCTTCTCACTCACTCCCTGCTCCAGTTGTTCCCGTCCACTCTGGTATCTGCTTCTAGATGGACATGCCCAGCTCTTAGCCTCTCAGTTTCCAGGACTCAGTAGCCAGGCAGAGCCATGGGTCTGACTTCTTATAGTCATGGAGCCTTATAGTTTCTGCTCTTACATTTAGGTCCACACAGCCCATTTCAAGTCCATTTTTGTCTATGGTGTGAGGTATGGCGCTTTCTGATCTTTGGCTTGGGAACATCCAGTTGTCCCAACATCATCTGCTGAAAGACCATTCCCTCCCTGTTACATCCCTTGATGGTCCGTCAGAGATCAGCTGACCATAAACACGAAGGTTTATTCCTGAGCTTTCAGTCTGTCTCATCGGTCATGTGTCTCTTTGCATCAGGACATCGCTGCCTTCTTGTGGTTGGATTGATTGATTGATTGGTTGACTGGTTTTAAAAAGTGTTTTAAGTCTCACTGTGTAGCCTTGACTGGCCTGACACACATTCTGTAGACCAGGCTGGCCTAGAACTTGCAGTGATCCCCCTGCCTCTGCATCTTCAGTGCTGAGATTATAGACATAACACCATGTCTAGTGCATAATTAGGTTTGATTGTCTGTCTCCCCTTCCCCTCCCCTCTCTCCTCTCTTTCTTCTCTCTCCTCTGTATGTGTGTCTTTGAGATAGGATCTTTTAATTTTTAAAAACATTGTTTTAAAGATTTTAAAATGTTTATCTTATGTATATGTTTTGCCTGCATGTGTGCCTGGTGCCCTCGGAGGCCAGAGCATGACATCAGATCTCCTGGAACTGGAGTTACAGATGGTTGAGAGCTGCCATGTGGGTGCTGGGACTCAAACCCTGGTCCTCTGAAAGAGCAGCCAGTTCTCTTTACCACTGAGCCATCTCTCCAGCCTCTGGGAAAGTTTAATTTTGTTTGTTTGTTTGTTTGTTTTTTGAGACAGGGTTTCTCTGTGTAGCTTTATGCCTTTCCTGGAACTCACTCTATAGCCCAAGCTAGCCTCAAACTCATGGAGATCCACCTGGCTCTGCCTCCTGAGTGCTGGGATCAAAGGCGTGCGCCACCACTGCCAGGCTGAAAGTTTGATTTTTATGTATGCGTATGTATGTGTGCTTGCCCTCTTGTCTGTCTGTATTGTGATATGCAAGTACTGGGAACCACACTCCAGGCCTCTGTAGAGCAGTCAGCGAGTGCTGTTAACCACACAGCCATCCCTTCAGCACCAGACAGAGTCTGACATAGCTCAAACTGAAGTTCAGAGTCCACAGTATAATGCCCCAGATGACCAGATGACCAGCCACCGTACTCAGCCTCCTAATGCACAGGGTCAGAAGTTCCCTTTGTGCGGAGTGGAGGACGGTTGGCATCGTCTTTCTGTATTCTCAGGACTTTGATAAGGAGGCCTTCCCTCACACTCTGTTTGTGTGCCAGCCCCTCTACAGCCCCTTTGCAGCTGCAGGTCAGCCCTGGAAAGACTGAGTGACCCAGCCAAGGACACACTGCTGGTGAAGGCAGGGCCAGAACTCCAGGGTCTTACCAGCCTTCCTTATAATTATTATTATTTTTTAATTTAGAGTGAGTGTGTGCATGTGCATGTGCTTGTGCAAGCCACCATGCACACGTGGAGATCAGAAACAACATGTTGGAGATAGTCCTCCTCTTCCACCATGGGCTCCGGGGATTGAACCCGGGTCCTGAGGCTTGTGCCACAGACACCTTTACCTGCTGAGCCATCTCGCTGGCCCCAATTCTTGATTCTCGTGGCTAAGGAGCACCAATCAGTGACTGTCTAGTTCTGCTTGTTGAAGAAGCCGCCTGGCTTTTTGTCCCTTCTCAAAGTGGCTCACAGATGCACATAGAGCAATGCAGAAGGCAGAGATTCCCTCTGCGGCCACCAGAGGAGGTGTAGAGCCTGGGAACCTGGCACTCTGGCTAGGATGAGCCTTTTTGAACAGTTGTGGGTGTGGCTGGGGGTTCTTAAGAGATTCAGGTTTCTCTAATCTGTGCACCCTGTGGTTCAAATCTCAAGTGTGGTGGTGGGTTTAGCTCAAAGTCATGGTCACCAATATTGCTTCCTGCCTCCCAGCAAGTGTATTGATTCAGTAGAGAGTGTGTAATTTTGTGGGTAAGAACTCTGAAGTCAGGCAGACCACCTGGGCTACTTGTCAGTGATGTGGCCCCAGGAAAGTCACCTAAAGGTACTAATGTTCAAGTGAAATGGTGATTTCATTGCTCACCTCAGAGGACAAGGGCAAGAACCAAACAATGGCATTTATACTTAGCATACGGTCGGCACTCAGATGAATTGTTATTCTTGTTGTTTTGTCTTGGTTTATTTTGTTTCTTTAAAGATTTTGTTTTTTCTGGGCATGGTGGCTCATGCCTTTAACCTCAGTATTCAGGATACAGAAGCCAGTGAATCTCCAGGTTTAAAGGCAGCTTGGTCTACATGGTTAGTTCCAGGCCAGACAGACCCTGTTTCAAATAAGATGTATTTAGCTCTGTGTGTGTGAGAGAGAAAAGTGTGGGAGAAGGAGGGATTGGCATTTACACACATGCTGACAGTGGCCAGAAGGTGGCCCTGGATCTCCTGGAGCTAGAGTTACAAACTCCAGTCCTCTGGTAAGAGGAGCAAGTACTTTTAACCAATGAGTCATCTCTCCAGGCCCCTTTTAGACAAGGTCTTACTATGTATCACAGGCTGCTTTTGAAGCATGGGCTGGCCTTGAACTCCTGCTTCGTCTTCCCAGGGCTGGGAGCACAAGTGTGAAGCATCATACTTGGTTTCAGAGGAGAGATTTTTGGCTTTGGTTTTGTTTGTTTGTTTTGCTTCTATGTTTTTTTTTTT